AAAAAAATTAGTCAGAATTGATAAACGCTTAAAACTGTTTTTGAAGCAAGCTGAACTAGCGTAAGTGACTTCCCCTTTTAGCGCTGAAGTGATCTACACCCCTTCCATAACGGCTCTAGACAAAACACACCTTCCGCGTTTGTAGACGTTCCTTCTAGCGCTGTGGGTGTTGACGAAGTGGAGGGAACAGCATTCTGGGCTTTAGGTTGTCTACCCCGTTGCAACATCGGGGTCTGAGGAAATTGCGGGGGTGGACCACCACAAGCGCTTTCCCAAGTTAGAGTATCGATGTCACTGATGAATTTTTCCTGAACACGAGGAGATATGTGGGAAGAAAAAATGGAAATCGGTCTGATTTTGTATAAAAAAAATGGAGAAGAGGGGAAGATAAGAGTTTGTCCATACATTACCTTTATGTCGTAGCGCCCCTTTCGGACCACGCAGGAATTCTTCAGGAACAGCTTCAACTTCGGCTTGGACGCAACGCTTCTTGCACGGCTGTAACAATTGATTTTTTTAACTACTGATCATCCAAATAATCAAACTGACTGAAGGCAGGTATGATCAAAAAGTGATTGCTCAAAATCGTCTTCCAAATCTGCATCTGGATGGGTGTTTCCCTCTATGAATTCCAAAGAGTACCGAAATATTTCGGGTGGAGGGATCTGCGGGTCTTTGCCATTCCTGAAAATTGTCATCTCGATTGATAACGGTTTAAAAAAAGACAAACTTGAAATAGGAAAAAGCAACAGACATGATGGACAAGTCCTACAAAGAACAACAACTGACCCGCTCTCTGCCTGCCAATCTCGAAGTACGTGGACGCCAGTAATCCTTACTGGTATCCTTTGCGTGCCATCGACATAGGAGCATTCTTCACCGATAAAGTAGCGATCCTAATTCAACTTTCAAGGTCCAAAACACACTTAGCGAAGAAATAAGCAAGACCAACCTTCATAAATAAGGACACATCATTGAGCAGATCTTCGAATCGACCTCGACATAAGTAGTTTCGAACGAGAAACAGTATAGATTGCTCCAGTTGTGGCGGGAAATTTCCTAATGCTTTCTGCAATAAAACTTTTCTTTGGCAACAAACAACACAAAGGTCTAAGTGCAGATCGATATCAATTCAGCTGAGTCACAGCGACAACGCTCTTGGGATGCAGGTGAGGCAAGAGGTAAAGGAATCAAGACAAGTCATCTGGAGGATATTTTGGTCCAAATACTAAACATAAGCGATTACAACAACAAAGTATGAAAAAAACATCTATTTTAGTCAGAAAACCTTGATGATGATCGAACCAAAATTTCCGGGTAAGTTAACACAAACATTGACGGTAAGTTAACATTTAACCCTTAAGTATGCACAAGGTCATTATATAATGGATAAGCTATGTTTAGCTGTGACCTAGAGCAGAAAATCTTGGCGATATGATGAATTTTCGGTTATTTAGCCTAAAAAAAAACTCATACATAGCCACGAAATTGTGGGGCGGTTCTGCTGTAAAGTTGCTATGCTCATTTACTATGAGTAACAGAGCCTTGAATCACGCAAGCCAAAAAAGGTAAGTTAGAGTGAAAAAAGGGCTTTCAGACCGTAACAGCGGGATTAGCCGCCACAAAGCAATTGATATTCTAATCGATAAGCTAGAAACTCGACGAGAAGGTTTGAAAGGGTAACATTTATTTGTAAGTGCAAGCTTATAACATCATTAATGTGCTGCGCAGAGTTGCATAATGCACGCTGCTATAAAAATGCCAATCTTTACGAATTAAGTGGTGAGTACTGGAAATTCTTCAAAAAATTTTAGAATTTTTATCGAAGTATTTGAGATTGGGTTGACTGAGATCGGGAAAAGTGATATCGCCAGCCGAAATTCAACCTTAGGAGTTGGTTCAACCTAGCCAAATTCGAGAGAATTTCTCTGCGTTCTTCATCACGCGGCAAGATTTTTTTCAGTATCATTGAAAGAAAAAAGGCAGATGTTTTGCAGATGTACAAATTAAACAACTCGACACTCGTCCTTTGTGAGCGAAAGCGAGAAATAAATACATGAGCCGAATTTAGGATAGAAAATACGACAATGTACGAATCACTAACCATAGCCTGTTTCTCAGATTCCAGAGCCTCAAAATAGGTAAGACCAGTCTTGCCAGTGTACTCACATGAGAAAAGTGTAGAATTTAACTGGATCATTCTTTCGAAGAATTCGCTGAAATGTGGAAAATCATGTGTAGATCAAATAAGGAGTGCCTGTAGATCACTTAGCAAGGGCTCACGTGGGCAAATGAAAACGGAAAAAGTATAAGGTAAGTTAATAACTTACTCATAGTTTGTGAAAATCTCATTGCTTGCTTCCAAATAGTAGACTTTATCGGTGAGTTTTACATTTGGTGGAACTTCACGTCTTCCAATCGGTTTCTTGTTCAGTAAAGGCATCTGAAACGTGACAGAACAGTGTTCTACAATGAATAGAAAAGACAAATTTGTTCGCGTTTCGAGATACGCAGCGCGTTGTGAAAGATCGATACACATAAAGAGGCCGGGACACATAGACACGGCTTGAAAACATTCGGAAATATCTCCTTGATTTTTTAGTAAATTTTGAGAATTTCAGCGAGAAAGTGTGAGATCACTTGATAGAAGGGATCAGTGTGATCTTCTGGAAGTATCTGAGCTTCAGGGAAGCTCAGATTAGCTGCGAAGAATTCAAATATGCGCATTTAGCAAAC